CGGCGAACGTGCGGACGCTTCACTTCACGCGTATTTGGTTTCTGCGCATGCACAGTGCGCACTCCTGGTGCGGGAAAACGTGAACTTGTAAGTAAACAGCCTGTGTTCGTCTATAAAAAAAAAGTATAGGGATCTGGGTAATCGATTCCACTGTCTTTCGCATTTTGCCCTGTTCTTGTCAGGGTAATGTAGCCTGTTCCCTTCTGCAGCCAACCCTGATCCTCTTTAATTGAGCCCTGCCTAAGCGAACAAACAAGAACGAAAGGTTAGCGCGCGGAGTCTTCAAAATTTCGAGCAGATTTTCGGTCGTCCCCACACCCGTCGCTCGTAACGCGTGACTCCCTGCTGGCTGTAAAGTCTCATTTCGATCGCCCGCAGCAGAACCGTGGGACCCGCATGAGAGTTGCGGCTATGCGGAATATCTCTTGCGGGGCTGGAGCCACCGCGTGTTAAAGAGCCCCCACCAGAGCTCTTCTCTCTATCCTTTTCTTTTATTATTATTACTATTTTAGGTCGGCTTTTGTTTACAACACCCCGTAGCTCGACTCTCTGGGGAGAACGCGCGAAGTTGGGATCTAGTGAAATGTGGCCCGTCGCATGGAATTACCGCCAGCGTTGGAAACCTATTTTCTAGCTGGCGGAGTTGTTATCTGCGAGGTGGCGGACGCTGCTCTGCTGACTCTGATTTAGTACAGACGGGAGAGGGGGAGAAAGAGAGAGAGAAAAGAAAAAGAGAGAGAGTTCCTGTTTTCCGGCCTCGTTCCGGGGATGGCAGCCAGACTCCCTAAAACTCCCGAGACAGAAGACCGCCCTGGGAAAAGGGAAAATGATGTTTTCTGGCCGCGCTTCCATATCGCCGTACTCCTTTGCGGTCTTGGGTTGGTTGGTGTCCCTGCTCGTAATTATGGTGATGATCGTAGTTATCACGAGAGGGGCCGGGCTTGTATACCGTTGGTTCCACTTTATGTATACGAGCGAAGCCGTAGCTATGCACCGACAATCCGAGGGAAAAGAGGAGGCGAGAGCGCGCGGCGGCGTCAGGACGCCGAGTTCTGGTTGGACTGATTAGTGGCTAGGCGCTAAGCTAATTGCATTTGTCTCCAGTCCTGGAACGCATTAGAACGCTGAATGCTGGCGTCCGGCGTTTGGCTTTCGGATTCGAACGTGTTCGACGAGTGCAGTGGAGTCATAGGCAGCTAGCTTCAGGTCTACCCACCAATCATTCGAATCATAGACATAACTAGTTGTTGTTGTTGTTGTTGTTGTTTTCTTTTTTAATTAGAGCGAACAAGTCCGTGGTCTGCCTTTCCCGTAGTGTCTCGCGCTCGAAAGCCGGACGCCTCCACTCGGAAACCAGAAAGAGGAAAAGCAACTCATCACTGCCCTATTTGTTTCCTGGGTTCTTGACGCCTATTCGCGACTCCAGTCGCGCTGGTCAGGCAAAATGGCGGACAGGAGGAGGTCATTTTTGTTGTTCAGCACGCAGACCACCACACATTTCGTGCACTGCAGCGTAAAATCGGTGTTGTATATGAAAGCAAAGCAATTTTTCGACAGTAAAAATATTCTTCTAGTCAGTGCGTATACAAATGACACGGCGGAAGCAGAAACAAAATTACTGTAAACGATGTTTGTTTATTTGCTGCCTACGAGAACCGAACACAGATAGCAGACGACAAAGTCGAAACGACCTTTTCTCTTGAGCTTTTCGGCGTTGCCGCTACGCGGCGTCGATTTCTCTGGAGTCGCCAATGACTATTAATCGCTTACAAAAAAGCTAACCGAACGGGTCGAGACCTTGAAGCGCGAAGCGATACGCATCGTGGCGTAGCTCCCCAATTCACCCCAATTGCCGACTTATACGCGCACGGTGACGTCAGTCTGATATCTGAACACGCCAAGCACAGCCCGACTGCGCGCGCAACACGCTCGACTGCGGACGCCGTACGAGCCATACTGGACGAGCTGGGTTACCACGTGGCGACGACGACGCCGGCGCCATCGCCGTGGTATTCGACGATTGAGCTCACGGACGACCGCCCCCAAGAGTGACTGCACACAGGGAAGAGAACGCGACTCGCCCGAGCCCACGCAACACGCGTGGCGGGGAAGGACCCAAAGACGGATACGGCCGTATACACCGACATAGCCGAGAAGACACTGTCGGGGCCGGATGCCTTCGGCCGAACTACGCACGCGAGGGTATGCGGAGTGGGTCGACACGACGAACAACGCAGTCGGCTCTACCCTCCTCGAACCATCCGACGGACTCGACATTACGTGGAACCGAGCTGGAGGCGTTCCTCCACGCCGCGACGTGGGTGTTCGAGAAAACCTCCAACGACAACAGCAACAACAGCACCAGGACCAACACCACATCACGTTCTACACCGACACAGCAGAGGAGCACGAGGGATGCCGACGTTCCTCGTCGTGCTTCATCACCTTATTCTCCCCGGGCCCGCGCGAGGGCACGATTCAAAGGTTGAGCACAACGTCACAAACACTGGAGGAGACGCTCGGCGTATACGTGCGAGGGGATCGTGGATTCCCGCACACTTCTGGCACTGCCGGCAACGAATGAAGCCGACAGCGAGGCGCGGGCGGCGATTCGAAGAAACAATACACAACGGCGCCGAACGCACCGAGGAAGACGTTGTCGCCACCGTCGTGTACTCCGACGACGGTGCCAAAGTATTTATCGTTTATCAAAGGCCTATCGGAAGAGAACAGGAACGACAGCCCCCCCCCCCCCCCCCCACCCCACCCCCCTCCCCACCCCACCCCCTCCGTCGCTACCATCCCCCAGCCGCCAGGAATGACCACTATTCAACGAAGAAGACGTTAAACCTTGTGGCTCTAGCACGAACCGAGAGCCGCCGAGACGAGCCTCTCTGGTCGGCCTGTTCCTCCGATGCCCAAAAACCTACCGAGAGGTGTGCAGACGCTCGTCCGCCGCCTGGCCACCAGCACAGCGATGTCACCTGCAGTGCAACAAAAGTTTTACGGAGACGACCCAGACGACGGCCTGTGCCGCAAGTGCGACTGCGCTGTCGCCGCTGAGACTACGCGGCACCTCGTCTGGGATTGTCCCGCCTTCAGAACGCTGCTCGCCAATACATTGCAAACACTTCCTTCGTCGACTGGGTGCTTCCTATCACGGCCGACAAGGAACACCTCTCACCCCCCTGGTTGCGGCCTGGCGGAGTTTGTCTTCGCAGAAGACGGCCCCGGGCGGCTGCTACGCCTGCGAGGAAGCAAGAGGGAACACCAGCGGCGACGATGACACCGTCGATGGACGCGGCCGGCAACCGCACGAACGACGCCAAAGACCCGTTTGCGTCCCCCCATAACAATTGGAGCGACGGAAACAAGCAATGATAGCGTTCACTGATGCCTTACGGCAAGAGTGAGTCGCAAAGGCAAAATAAAGACGTTCCATCAACCAATCGACACGCTGCCCCCAATGCCATTAATCGGGTTAAAAAGAAATATTGCTCGACAGAAAGCGAAATTAACAAACATTTTACCGAGAGCGTTGCAAATTTGCCTAATTATCAGGGGCGCGTCTCGTTTAACTCGTTAATGAACGCTTACATTGCGCGTCATGACTGTCAGGACGAAGAACGATGACGGCAATAATCCCTATCTGTGTTTGGAAATAATAACTCCTAACTGTGTTTGGAGATTTGTGTTTGTTTTCTGTCCCCTTCTCCAGGGATTATGGTCGTCCTTCTTGTTCATGCTCGCTCGCACCTTTGCATTAATTGCATTTTCATCAGGACGAGCAGCGAAATCCTTCCAACAGTCGTACCCCGAAAGTGGTCGACTATGCGACTGACGTTGTTTCCTTTTCTTTTTCTTTCTATTGTGCTGTATGTCGACAAATCGCTCGACATCCAGCAAACTGCGTGCCATTTGGACGGCGCCTTTGTGTTTCTAATGAGGAAATCTTGTGCGCGTTGGTAAATACGGCCCCCGAAGAGCCGCCGTCGCGTTGTGTGTACATTGCCCGATTGTCAAGCTTCCCTGTGGCAAGCCCGTTGTTGTCAGACTAGCGCTTCTTCTAACTGATTAATAGCTTTTAATATCAGACCTTCCTCCCCCAACAACAACAAAAAAAAAATAATTATTTGTGCAATTTTTTAGTCATTTGGTACTTTATACGAATTTTCTAAATTGATTTTTGTGTCTGCGTTGTCCTTTTATACCTTTTTAAGTGTCTTTCTATCTAAGGTGGCCAGACCGGTTTTGAAATGTGCTTTAGTCGCAAACTTGTATCACGGTTGCAAAGACTGTGGTTTCAGCTACAAGTAGGAAGACGATAAATTTATTCTGAAGTAGCCGGGTGTTTTTAAAACTCCCGGAGACAATTAACCGAATGGGCGGGTTAATATTTTTAGCTGTAGCTTATTTCATCGTACGTGCTACAAATTGGAAGACGACAGATTTATACATCATAGTGATACAATCGAGATTCTTTTGAACTTTTGGAGATAACTGACAAAACGAGTTAACTTTTCCGGACACGACTTATCCCAACGTACGGGCTGAGCTATCAGAACTTTCTCATATGTTTTATACTAAGACGCCGGAGATGATGATGATGCCTTCCAAGATTGAAGTTCATGGTGTGATTTACCCCCTTATTAGTTTACAGGATGTGCAGTATTAGTGCTATGCACAGATCAATATCTCTTTTGTGGGAGCTTTCTATAGGACGGAACACCATTAAGGATAGGCGTAGATTTTGTAAAACCGCTGCTACTACAGCAAAGCGTACGAGCACGATGCTGCCAGTCCTTGTAACATGTAGTACTTCCCGCCCACGTCTGGTAGGTACTTTTCCTTGCCAAGAAAACATCCGCTATAAAGCGTCGACGAAAGGCTTATCAGATTCTTTTGCCGTTTTTTGCTTTCTGTTTTCGTCGCGTAACGGAAACAAAGAGAAAAGTGAAAGCGCCCTCATCCGGTTGTCTTCGTTTCTTTTGCTTACGCAGGGTGCCCTCGCAGTACCTATGGTTCAAAGCCCTCCGGAGGATACGGGACTCCTGGTCCCAACCGTGCGGTGCCGGCGGCGACGGACCCTACCCTAGAAGACCGTCGTGGGCACCCTTGGACACCGTCTCCCTTGCCGTCAGCAACCGGGACACCTCAACCACTGATCCCCGCCGCCCAATGTCCATCGTGACCTTCCATAATGGCTCTTCCTCGGTGCAACCGTCAGACCAGGAGCTCTTGCAATTCCCGGACGGGCACACGGCCAAGCTGTGGCGGACGGGCAATCCCAACGCCAACTCTGTGGTCATCTCGGTGTCCCCGGCCAGGAGCGAGTCCAACAATTCCTTCCAGGACAGCTCGAGCACGGTGGTCGCTGGACCCACACCTATTCTGCGAGGTTCCATGGATGGCAACCTGGAGAACAACAACATTGCTTGCGTCAACGCGTCGTCCGGCAACCACGGTAGCGGAGCGATCCAGCAGCATTTCAAGAAAGGCTTCTCATTTCGCGGCCTCAACTTCCCGCGCCTCACCAACAGCTTCAAGGACGACAAGCTGGAACTGGCCTACCAGGGGTACTCTCATCGGCAGCGGCAGACGGCGCTGGTTATCGTCAATCTCATCGACGTGTTTCTCAAGGTGGCCATGTTGGTGGCGTTCTTTGTGGCGGGAGAATTAGACGAACCGCGGTTGACGTGCGCCCTGCTTCGCAACCTGCCGTGGATTGCGGTGAACTTGCTTCTGTGTCTTCTGACCTACTGGAAGTTCTTCGCCAGCAACTACCTCCATTGGGGAGCGCTGCTAATCTGGATTGCACTCAACGCCGAAGGTAAACTAAATTTATTTAATTTTCTAGTTGTTCCACAATCTAAAATTAGGAGCATAGCTGTGTAATGTAACCCCAATAGTCATCTTAGAAGAAATTTAAATTGCAGCGACTAGCTTGTCGAAAACTTTTTTTCTGGAATTTCAGAAAAAGTGACGAGTACGGATGCGGAGCTGTGATCGGAGTTCAACATGCGCGAGCGTGCGGCATCTATATCTTTGGCTTCATTACCACATAAGGTTGCCCCTAAAATACACTATATTCCGCTTCGAGAAGGCTTGCCAAGCGGGGAAAACTGGAGCCCCAGCGAGCCAATGAAAGCACCAGAGCGGGGACCTTCGTCAAGCTTTTGACCTTTGTCAAGTTACATTGAAACGAAGCATGGACGCTGGAGGTAATTTCCTAAAAACAATCAGCGACCTCGTTGTTCTTGTCCGCTATTTATGGCCGTCATGAGGCAGAGCTGGCGAGCCTTGTGATAGATGCGATCCGGCTAGCGGATGTGTTTGAACGGAAGTCGTCTTGGGTCGAAAAAATCGGAATTGTTGACACAGGCTAAACGAACAGAAGAGCGCGTGTTAGTGCCGTGCTTACACAAAACGAACAGGCCGGGGCATTCTCCGCTTTTCTTGCCATCCTCCCCACTTCCCTTGCCTCTTCTCGCCTTCAACTTCCGGGTTGGGTTTCTGTCGATGTGCTCTGGGAAATCATTAGACCCTATCTCACTAGGTGCGCACAGGGAGGGAAAAGAGAAAGTTTCTCTTACCCCGCTTCTCTTTTGTGTACCCTAGATGCCGCTCTTGTCTCCTTGGGAGATTAACCTGTCACCCTGATTTCGTGCAAAAGCGGCTCGCCTTTGTCTCCCGCCCATGGCGTTCACAGCACTGCGCGCAACTAGCGGGATACGGCAGGGACCAAGGAGCGACTCTGACGTTGCACAGCTGCGGTGTCGCTGCTGTCCGCTCGGCACATTAGGGAGCCTAGGTCACCACAGGTCTCAAACATGGGGCCCGCGACTCTCTGGGATGCAGTCCACATGCGTCCCGCGGCTGCGAGCCCCCGTGCCTCGAGCGACACATGCGCCATCCATAGGATGGATGGTAATGGTTAACCCCTTTCGGGCGGCAGCTTGCGCCACCTACCCTAACATTTTGTGATCCCTTCTTTTTTTAAATATGTATAAATTTTGTTATAACCCCTCCCCCCCTTTTTTAAAGTGATTCCATTTTTTATTTTTATTTGTATTTTTGCACAATTCTGTTGTTTTTTGTTTGTTTTTTTGGGGACCAAGTGTTGCTTCGTTTAAAGACCGACGACCAGTTCGCGCTTTCCACTTTTCCCTTGCTTCCTCCTCTCCCCCCTTCTACCTTGTTCACCGTTGCTGTTTCCTCCTCCCCCATGGTGAGGAGGACCTTCTGCCTTGCAGAATGTCGAGTGTGGTCGTCGGCCTTTAAGTACTTGCTTCTCAGCCCTTTTTCGTGTAAGTCAACCGGAATGGCAATACCAGCGTATAGACGATTGCAAGCTGGGCGACTGGCCGCCGCCATGTCTCTGCTCGAGCAGGCACGCCCGTGCGATTACGAACTTGCCAAAGCTACGTTCACCCGCGCGTTGCACGCGCTTGCACGCATGGGGCACCACTTGTGGCGCCATGCTTGCAATTGTCTATACAAGTGAGAGCTCTTTACTCAAGAAGGTAGTACCGCGGCTGCGTGAACTCTTACGCAGCAGGAGCAACGGCCAAAGGTAAAAAAGCTACGAGCTCGGGCTTCCATTTGTCAGACAATACTTTAAAATGAAAGTATTTTGTGATAATGCTACTATAAAAATTGTAAAAAAAGCAAAAGTTGCCGCATGAGGAGATATTGCCTATTGAGCCTAGTGTATTGTATGACAGGGCGAGGACAGTGTGCTTGCTCTCGGTCTATTGAAAACTGCCAGTACTGTGGTATGGTGGTGTCTTAAATCTTCTTATAACATCAGGCGTGGGTCCAAAGTAGTCGTAAATGCGAATAAAAGGTAAAGAGTGCAAAACGATGAGCTTGCGAAAATCAGAAAGCATAAGGTCTCTCGTCTAATAAAATCTTTAGGGTGACGCTGGGACAGTTAGCTGCTTTGCAACTTAAAACACCAATGCCGTCCGTTTGATTGTTTTTTGTGTTGTTCCAAAATAGCAAAGTATTATTTCCCTCCTTCGTTGGCCCTCGTCCTTTCGGGGGTGGACTATCTGCACCCCCCCCCCCCCCCCCCCCCCCCACAATTCGAATGAGTTTAGACCCTGGTCTAGATTGTAGAGGGGGTCCATCTCAAACCGTGGCGAGCCTTTGCAATTTTTAATGGCGGACGCAACCCGCGCCTATTGGTCGTAAGTGTGCATGCGCTGCATTGAGGCTCGGCGAGGACGAAAGCAGGTGGTAGCTGGCTAGGTGGCGCAAGCTGCCACACGTTACATTAACATCCATCCAGGCCAACACCACCTAGACAGAAGGCCTCCACACGCGTCATCATAGTCAGATCGATCGAGGCGAGAGATTGGGCACGAGTGCTGCGTCAGTGTTCGGCTGCGGCTCGTGGCCAATCAGCGCGTCGAAGGTCGGGCTCGGGTCCAATAGCCGACCGAGCGCGATCCGACTGTGATGACGTTTCATAGAGGAAGAGGAAACCATGCGGAGGCCTTCTGTCTAGGTGATGTTGTCCAGGCGGAGACGCTCGCAGACGACCGACGCGTTCGTCACCTCTTCCCAGCTCGTATAATGCAACCGCGGTCCATACATCACGTGACCCCGGTCCAGCAGTTGGACACACTCTGTGATACAGGCTCTCTACGGTGGAGACGCTCCGCTTCAGGTGAATCTGGTTTCTGCGCGCGCGCAATAGCCACACCTGACGTGGAGAAACGTAAGCTTGTTTGGAAATAACGCGTTTGCGTTTGACGTATGTTTTTTTTTCCTTTTTTTTTTTAGTTTAGCGCGGTGCTCGTGTCGTTCATTGACCCGTTCGCTTATCCTTTTCAAGTATCATAGCCTCCTCTATGCAAGTATACTTCGTTGACACACTCGGGAAGCGTCTAAGCAACGTGACTGCCACGTAGAACGCTTAATCTGACAAGGACGGAGCTCAAAAGCCAGAAAATTAGCATGTCTGCTGCCGTGCAAACTTCGTAGTAAGGCATCACTCTAAAATAGTATTTCATTATTTTGACAAGAAGTGGCGCCGGTAAGGAATGATAGTAATTCATTTACGAGACAGTTAATTTCGTAATTATATATATTTTAATCGATTTTACGTTTAGCAGTATTAAAGAGGCATATAGCCTCGTTGGCAGTGCTTCGTCACTTTTAACAACAATGATGCAGTGTAGCTTTCAATCCGCGCGCATAGAAGTTTACCGCCCCACTATGCACATGGGCGTACCAACCCGGGGGGGGGGGGGGGCAAGGGGGGCGCTTGCCTCCCCCCCTCAGTTCTCAGAGTGGGGGGCAAGGCATGTGTTTTGACCCCCCCCCCCCCCCCTGAAACAGCCGCCACTAGGCAGGGCAAACACTGGCCGGCGGCGCCCAAGGGATTCCAAGGGCACCGCCCCCCGGCCCTGAGGGGGGGGTTGGTTTGCCCCTCCCCCCCCCCCCCCCCCCACACACACACACTCAAAAACAACTTGGTACGCCACTGACTATGCAAGAGTGTCTTGTAGATAACGCTGTCATCATGTCAGCAGACCGTGTCGTTTATATGATGTCTGAGCAGGCTGGCTACGGCTTAAAGAGATCACACTGAGGTCCGCGCTTGCAAGAACATGTCGTCAGTCTTTAAACGCCGACGGAGAGAGGTCAGAAAAGACGGCACGAAATCTGTCTCGCGTTCAGGACGCGGCACAAAGGACCCGGAAGAGTATTAATTAAAATACGCGAGCACACACGCACGCACGCAAAATAAGGATATGCCCCTCCTACACGCGTTACCTTGTTTTCTGCGTCTCTGTAGTGTCAGCGCGGTCTGACCCGAAATCTTCTCAAATCCCGTACGCAATTAGAGGCTCTCCAGGCGTGTGTGTTGGGTGTTTGGAGACGGTCGATATATGTGTTCGAGGGCAAGACAAAAGAAAAACACACAAAAAGAGTATATCGGGCGTTGCGTGCTTCGTTTAATCACTTAATCAATGACCTGGCCCGGAAAAAATATTTACGTTCCTCGGCCGTCCTGCTCCACCTTTCCTATTAGCATAATGACTAAGAATAAAAATGCAAAAAAGAAAAAAAGCACAAGCTTGGGTTTAGTTTTTTATACCTCTGATCGCTTCGAAGAGTTTTGAAAAGGTCACTCGCATGGTGGCTCGAAATATATGGGCCGCCATGGGACCTTGATAGGTGGCGCAAGTCGCCACCCGATTCTAAGGCTTAGCCGTATCTGTCCACATATATGTGCACATGTTTCCAGTTAACGTCTCGGAAGCAAGCAACGTTCTGACTTCCTCATGTCGCATTATCAAAGGCTTGGAAAAAAAAAAAAGAAACTTTCCGTTATTGATTGCTTACGCTGCGTCTGTACACCGCAGCTTTTTGCTTGTAAGCAGGCGAAGCCTCTGTGTACGTTCTGTTTGAGGGCCAACCACACCTCAGCGTAACGTCAAAAACCTGAATTCATGTACTTATCTTTTTTTCTTTTTTTTTTACCTTTGAGAAGAGAATGGTTTATCCGCGGTTTTGACACATGGCTGTGTTCCAAACCTTACTCGAATTATGGTGGCTAGAGAGCCCTACTCGAATGAATACGAGTTACTCCGGCCGATCATGTCACGTACCAAGAGAGATAGTGCAACGCTGAACGCTGGTAGGCTTTCGAGCGCCAAGGTACCACACCTTAAAGGTGTCATGAAACGATTTTCCTACTTCTTCCTCCTTAGCTTTAATCCTCAACTCAAATGCGAGTTGTGAAAGCACGTGGTCGTGACATTCCTTCGGCACCGGTGCGATGACTCCTAGCTTCCACCGTGCTTTTTATGCACACCATAGAACTTGTCATTCCCCAGTGACAATAAGTTCTGTCAGGGCACTCATTGGCCACGAACGCGAATCCGAATGTTCGTCGTCGGATTGATTGTTGACGAGCGCATGCGTCCGAGTGACGCAGTTCTCGTGTCCAATGCGTGAGCTGGGCTCTGCTGACGTCAGTTTGGCGCCGGTGACGCGCTTTTGGAACCGCGGATGTATCATAGTGAAAAGGCGGAGAGCTTTCGAAGGGAAGAAGGTACAAAATAGTCCGCTATATTTTCACATGCTGGTACCGAAAAGCTGGCTTTTGACTTTCTAGCCTCTTTCTTTTGGCCAACTAAACGATATGCGATTAGTAAAGTCCCAATTTAAGATCATTCATCCCAACCCAAAATTCGTTTCATGGCCCCTTTAACCCTAGAGAAAAATCCAGTAATTTTTAAAACACGGCTTTCATCCGTACGTTAAAATGTTCCCCAAAAAAAAAAAAATTTCGAGGTTATGAAAATGGGAAAGTTTGACGAGCCACGTGTGGTGTAGTAAAGGGGAACGGAGGGGTGGGGCAAAATGGTGGCGGGCAGGGGAGGGGGAAGTGGGCGGCGGTGGTTTAGAGCTAGCATGGATGAACGGCTACCATGAGCAGGCACCTGACCGATGAGCCCAAATACTGCCGCTAAAGATACAAAGAAAAAACGCTTTTCCACCATTTATATGGGAGCTTGGCAAATATCTCCTGATGAAATAATTTCAGGAAACTTGCGTATAGTATTCTCCCGCTATTTTCTTATCTTTATTACGGTATTACGCTATACTCTGTTTCACCTTATGATGTACCGCAGGAAAGGCTACAAGCGCGAGCTCCTTGCTCTGGGGCACATCCCGGCGGCACAAGCTCTAGCTGCCAACGCTATGAGCTCGCGCTTCTAGCCTTCGCTGCGGTACAACATAAGGTGAAACGAAGTATAGCAAGACACCTTTAACATCCAAAAAAGACAACGGCTATGCACTTTCTCTTTAAAAAAAACTTCTTTGATGTCGCGGACATTGCATTGTCCGGCTTGCTGTCTCATTTCAGTCAGAAATTAATGGACCCATGTTTCATACCGTGTCAGTCACTTGCTACTGGAACCCTTCGGGTTCTAACAGAGGTTGTTGCGAGGTTTGTTTCCCAAATGATGGCTAGTTGGCCCTTTGAAACGAAAACACGGCTCTACGCTCATACGCGTTTTAAAGAGATTTCTCCCGCTGCTGCAGATTGCAGATGGGGTCAAGAACGTGTCAAGCAGCCCACTGCCGCTTGTCTGCTCCGCCTCCCTCGTTGTCTCTTACTATTAGCGAGAGATAAACAACCTTCGTAAATCTTTTGTGTGAAGGCTCTTCCTGGTACCAGTTTTGCCACAAAAATGTGTTCCTTCTGCGTGCGTGCGTGTGTGTAGCTGTAAAAGTGTATTCGACACGTGTAAGTGTATTCGACACGACGCATGGCAGAGGCCGTGGAATCACGGTCGCACTGCTGATACATTATACAAAAGACAGACTGCGCCCACGTTTGCAATACACATAAAGAAACATGCTTGGAACATCCGTGAGGCCTGTTCGCAGGCATTTTGTCGTGGTGTCTGCGAGCGAACATGGCGTCTTTTTTGTATGGCGTACACGAACGAGCAGCGCGTGACACGGCGGCTCCGGAGGAACTTGCTCCTCCAAAGTCGATTTTTTGCCAGGTAACGGCACCTTCGGCGTCACGTGGGGATACCTCCAGTTCGAACCCGGGGGCGACGTGGCCGGGGACGGATCCTGGCACGTGATGTTCACCGTGTTCGTGACGTACGCCATGCTGCCGCTGCCGCTCAAGTGGTGCATCGTGTGCGGGGTGCTGGCGTCCCTGGGCCATCTGCTCGTCTGCTGCCTCTACAGGGCGCACCTGGACAGACCCGAGTTTGAACGGATGGTGGGTCGGCCTATCTTCGACTCTATTTTGGGGGAATTACTCGCGAAATCAGCATCTATAAAGTCTGTTGCAACTCAAGAAGGTAAGGTGAGGGTAAGACGGGCCGGGGAGGAGGAAGCAGACGGAACGCTAAAGAAAGAAGGTTTCCCCCTTTCCTTTCCAGCGTTCCGTCCGCTTCCTCCTCCCGGCCCGTCTTACCCTCGCCCTGCCTTTCTTGAATTGTAACCGACTATAGTTACAAGTGCCGGTTACCCAAGTTTTAAAAGTTGTTCATTAAAAAGACACTACAATGAAAAAAAATGTTTTTTTTTCTTAAAGGGAAAAGATAGGACACGTATTGGTTTTTAATTTTATTACGCCGTTAGGACGTAATTTAGGTGGAGGTCACAACCCGCTCTAAGCCCCGCCCACAAATCATTTGCCCCGCTTATTACTACTGGATTGGCTCAGCTGCTCGGCCGAACGCGCTAACAAGACTGGTGTCTCCATTGCGCGACATCCGGCGCGTCTAGTCTGGCGTCTGACAACGTCTGCTATAGTTGTGCGAGCAAACACGCGGCAGCCTCCGGCATTCTCTACTATTTCGCCGCCGTCTATCGCCATGCCCGGAGGACGCGGGCATGAACGCTGCCCGTCGGCGTCCGTTTTCGCCTTCGTTCGTCTGTCTGCTGTTCTGCTCCCCCCTCACCCCCCGCCCCCCCCCCCTCTGAAAACTTTTACAACGCTCGCAAGACTCGACCATAAAAGTGGCGTTCTAGCGTTCCATCATGCGCGAGCGGCGGTCCAATAAAAAGGTTTGTCAGTGTCTGTCGATGTGCGGTAAAAAGCGACCGAAAGGACTAAAAAAATCCATAAAATAAATATGCAGTCATTTCAGCTTTTATGTTGTTCTTGTTGTTTCCTTTCTCTTTTAACATGGCATCCGCGAGCAAGGTCAGAGAGCGTCATGACGCACAGTTAAAACGTGATCTAAAGTTATTCGCTTTGGCAGGCTATGTATACTGCAAAACCTGAAAGCTACTTGCCTTTTGAAGGGAAATGACGGGAACATACCAGGACTACCTTGGTACGCGCCGAGCGCCCGATTGCCTCTAGCCGAATGGCTCGCAAATTCTTACACGTGTAACCTCCTCGGTACTGAAAACGTTGTCGCAATCACGACAGTTGCACGATGCACAAAGAAGTGGGGTCATTTTTACGGGCGCCAACATCTTCATTCAACACCAACACGCGCAACGAAAGAAATCAAGACAGATCGGTCAATATAGTGAATGTGGGACGTGACGAAACCAAGCACCGGCACAGCGCTTACGTAGGCGCGTATACTTGCGGAAGTTGTTTGCTGCATACTACGTCAGTTGAGCAGATCTTCCCCTAAACACCTCTGTGAACTCAAAACCACTCGCACTAATACAAGTTGAAGAGCTCAACGAACTTCACTCGTTCAGCATTCTGCAGGCGCCGGGAGCCGTGTTTTTAACGTTTCAAACGGAAGCGGGAGAAGCAACCTCAGAATACATTTGAAAACAATATTGACTCTATCTTAAATATTTGCTTCTCAAACACAAAGAAATAGTCGATTAAAATACTATTTCGGCACGGAGACACACATTTCTAACCAACCTTTCACACGTCAATCATCTCTCCGGCCAGTCAGAGATGTATGCACCTTGTAAGCACGGGGAGGGTCTTAGTGGGCTGTGACCTCCACCTTCTGCACCTAAATTGCCTCTAACAGCGTAAATATTTCTCGGAAATACATTAGTTTTTGTAGTAAAACTTTTTTTTTTTTAATAATCGTGTCCCTTTCAAAATATTTTATTTCATTTTTGTGTTTTTGTATAAGATCGCTCACTTCTTAAGACCGAATTAGCTCCAAACGTAGTTCAAAGGAAGCTCCGGCGATTTTATGAGCTACCCAAACTAACCACAGTTTCGGAATACCCGGATTTTTTTCTTCCCGACTTGCTATTTATCATCTCTGAATTAGAAACAGCTAACAGGAAAACGGCAAATGAATGTTACGCCAAAACAAACACTTATAATTTCCGTCACCTTCCAGTGACTTGACGCCACAAAAATCGAGCAGACCGTCTAAAAAAACGCATTACGCTTCGTCATATTATTTTTATAAGTCGTCGGGACGAAGTGGGTACTGCCCCAATTACATTTGACGTCGCGTCTCAACCTCTCAGACCTGAATTAAAAAAAAAAAATACAGTTACTTTGCGAAAAAAAACTATTGCGACTTCTGACTTAGGTTACATGTTCAAATGTATCTATTTACCAGTTTTAAGGCAAATCAGTGACTCTCAAAACCTTTTGCCGTACCATATGTGTACTATATTTCACGTTCAGACATTAAAGCCCCAAAACAGGTAGCTACAAATGCGCACGCTTGTACACATTTCTTATAAGTTATGTAATTATAGCTAAGGTTACATGGTCAGCGACTTTTCGCAATATCGGTTTCAGTAAATAAGTAATTATTAGCATGCAAGGCTCTTTTATGCAATGCCAGAATCAATAATGACCCAGCACTTTTGAGTGCCTGTCCGGCTGTTCACCATATTCGAAGCCACTGCTCCAGCAGTTCACATTCGCTAGGCTTACAGGATGGTTAAGAATTCAAGCTGTAAATATAGTGACACTTTTTTTTTTAATTACTACGTCATTAAGAACGCTACAGCGTTGTCGTTTTTGCATCGTGGTAATTCGATGTAAAGGCAAGATTAAATGAAACCCAGTTCCCAAGCGCCAAAGGTGGGTGAATTGAGGTCAACGCTTTACGTTTCCTCTTTGTGCAACGATTTTACAATATCACCGCAAAAGTAGTTTTCACTCAGTAAATTACAAGCACAACTACTGCTACTCAAAAGTGACGAAATGTAGTGACAAATTGTGCCAAAAGGTATTGAAAGTTCAGTACTTGGATATGCGTACTTCAGCCACTGTCTAACAATGCTTTTAATTTATGCTCACACACTAGGGTGTTTTAGTAGGCCGTTTCCGCAGCCCGCTAAGCACCGGCTTAAGGGGTGTCCAAACAGGACACTACAAAACGCGCGACTCCGACGAATCGTGAAAATTGAAGCGGACGCTCCCGCTTCCATTTTCACGATTTGTCGGAGTCGTGCTTTTTGCAGTGTCCTTTTTGGACACCCCTTTAGCGCTCCGTAACCATGAACTATGCAGACAAGGCTGGCGGCGCGCATGCGCAGCTTCGGCGTTTTCTTTACGGGTTCCATAGCGGAGGGGAAAAACGATCTACTACAACTCCCTATTATAGGGTTTCGCAGCTCAAAGATGCCCGTGAAGCAACTCTCCCAAAGATTCCTCACCATTTATAGCATTCATTTTACAGCGGAGTTGTTAAGGGCTGGTTTTTCCAGGATCGTGTCCCCCGGCAAGAAATGAAGACACCGAACTCTGGACACCTACCGCCATCTATGAGCGACGGCGGCAAGCCACGTATCTGGTTGCCGCCGTCGCTCATAAATGGCGGCAGCCTTTCCACTCTGGCTTGCCGACTTGCGGCCGGCCATCACTTTCCATTGTACAGCTCCGCTGGTCTTCCTTCTTCTCCACAGTGGAAAGGCTGAAAGTGTTTTGTTATAAATTTCTTCGCAAATGATTACTCACAATGCAGACAAAACCAACCGTTGGAAATCCCTTGAAAAGAGTTTTGTTCCTCGTTGAGAATAATTTTTTCGCGTCGAGGTTCGTGCAAAGAAGCCTGCTTTGTTAGCTGAGGTACCGCTAGAAGTAATGAGGACTTTTTTTTTTTTTTTTAAGCTAGTTTGTTTTTCGATCTGCAACGAATTTTAGCGAAGTCAAAACACGAATAATGGAGAAAAACAAATTACGGTATAATACGCCACCTGCTGCATTTGTTACGGTGGTCGTTGCCTCAGAGTTCATACACACAGCGTGCTGATACCAGAGCCCTCGGGCTCATCTAGTAATTGCACTTCTCTCATTAAGGCGTGTTCCCTCAATGGCGTCACCGCGCATAAAAAAAATAATTAATAAGTCAAGAGGAAAAGCACTAAAGACATTTCCCACACGGCTGATAATTACTGCGTTTCGTAGCCAAAGGAGCACATACTCAACAACTTCAAAGGAACTTGCCGAGGAGAAATCGACCTAGGGCTAGTTCGTCTTTTTTTTCTTTCTCTCTCTCTCTCTCTCTCTTTCTCTCTCTCTCTCTTTCTTTCTTTTTCTCTTCGGTTTCTTGCGCAAGCTTAGCACAAACAGTACCACCGCCACTGAACGGTTGCTCCGTTTGTCTGTTTTGTTTGTTTGTTTGTGATTTCGAGCGAAACTGTCTTTCATCCCTACATGTGCTGGAGCAGGACAGACGCACTTATCTGCTAGGCGTACACACACGCACTGATCCTGTTTGTAAAATTCTCCAGTTGAGGCGGTTGCGAGCTAAACAAATGCGGTCACGGTTACGAAAAGCTTCGAGTGTCACTCAAACTGATCACGTGTGACCTCGCTTCGCTCGGACTTCCATATTTCGCGTTTCAAAATGCGGCTCTGAGTACTAAAAGGATGGAAAATCATAGTATATTCTACTCGCCAGAGCGTCTCTAGCCGCAGTGCACTATTGATCAACTATGGCGAAGCCCGCTATCGCGACTGTGACCCGCACTTAAGCCGGGGTCACACCGCTCATACCTTATACAAAAGACAGTATGCAAACACGGGTCACCGCAGTATCCCTGGTTTGAATGCCGCGTGCACCAAGTTTCCACATTGCGAACTCATTGCCGTGCGGCATTCGAAGCACGAATCTCACGGTGACTCGCATTCGAATCTGTATGCAGACTGTCTTTTGTATGATGCATAAGCAGTGTAACCCCGGCTTTAAGCAAGTTACTTGCATATGTATCCGTGATTTAGCTTAATTACGATTATTGCGTCTTGACTGATGTGCAGAATGGGCAAACTCGCTAAGGCTCGCTAAGGAATTTTTGACAAGATTCCGACTCGCACAGAAGTACCGCTCTTGGGGGGGAAGTAAGCACACGAGTGGTACTTCACCTGACAGATTGTACCGGAAAGTCAAACTTGTTGTATTAATGTTAACTTAAAGTAGCGTCCGATGCCCTTGCTATAGAAGGGTAACTTGACCCCTGAAGTACGCAGCTGAAGACTGCAAAGCAAGACTGGTGTTAGCTAGCTTTCCTCGAGGATTACTGGGCCATTGCTTTGATCTGCTTGTTTTCGTGTTCCCTTACCCGGACTACGTCACGTTTTCGCTCCGTCTCAGCGAAACTGGGCAACGCTGGCCAACTCTGATCTCGTTTTAACATCGAAGTTAAGAGGAGTGCGTGGACGCTCTTCAGAAGGGTCCTTCTAAGTCGTGTGCTCGCGTCCGTGCCTCTGACCACGCTGCAACATCTCTTGACCGGTGCTGTAATAACCGCATCAAAGCCTGTGCACTTGAGTTCTGACGTCATCGTATTGATATGGAGCGAAAACACGAATTGAACACGAGGGCCGCGTCAGAGCTTGACTTGACCTCGTGTCGAAGTATATATGCTCGGCATCGTGCTCGAAATTCGGCTGCTGAGTTGCAGCCGATCGCCTGTGATGACGTTCTTTGGAGGAAGATGACGATGCTCGCAGGCCTCGATTATTCTATACTCTTCGTCACATCAAAAAAAAAAAAAAAGACGCTTGGTGCATTGTTTATATATGCTGCGAGAAGTAGTTCCTACAAGATATGATTGTCTAAGGAAGAAATGATATACTTTTTGACGTTTCAAACGTGTATGTCTTGATAAAATGACATAACTCTAACCTAGAATGCACCCGCATATATCTTAATTCTATACATGAAGAGGTGAAATTAATAACGCTCCGCTAAAAAACAAGGTTGTTTTTTTTTTTTTTTCTTTCTTTTTACGGATTTAAAGAATACGAGTATAGGCGTTGTTGGGGCTGGAGGAACAAGTTACCTTACTTTAATTTTTGCTTCCGCGCCTCTCTGCAGATCCTCACCAACGCGTGCCTGTACGCCTGCATCAACTTCGTGAGCATGTACACCAAGTACCTCACGGACCGGGCCCAGCGAAACGCCTTTCTGGAGACGCGCAGATCCATCGAAACAAGGTACAGGACCGAGAAGGAAATCAAAAAGCAGGTAAGAGCTCATTTACTTTATGATTCTTTTGTTTTTTTCCGCGGCCTTTTCCTTTTACACAAGGGCGCCGCCATCTTGAATTGTCGTCACTTCCAGTATGGGCGAAAACATTACTTTGCCGACGCCACGCCAATAGAAGACATTTAGGATATAAGCCTAACCGTCACACGTTCTCGTTTTGGCTCCCCTCTATTTTTTTACTGGTTACAGGTTGAAACGTTTTACTTTTTTGTCGTCGCCCGTACTGGAAGTGACGTCAATTCACAGTGGCGGCGCCCCTGTGGAAAATGTCTGTACATGGGTTGCACGTGACGCCATTTAAAGAGCGCTCCGATGACCACTGGATAAGAGGGAAAGAGGGAGCTCCCCTCTTATCAGGATCCTCTTTTGTGCCTCCCGGATTTGCACTTCTCCTCCCAGAAGATTATAGAAGATTAACTCGTCACTCAAAATTCTTACAAAAGCATCTTTCCTCTCCTCCTCTTACATGGTGGTCAAAAGTATGCGATGTGATGTCAGTGCAACCCACGCATACGAATCCGGCGAACGCTGGACGCCGGCAGTCGGCGTTTAAAAGCGTTCGAACAGCGAGTTAGAAACAAAGGCAGCTTGCGTCCACCCGCTCATCATTCCAACCAGAACTCGGTGCTTTCCTATCCCCGAGCTCTCTCATCTCCTCCTCTTCCTTAATTTGTACTCGTAAGCAAATAGACGAGAGGCAGGACTGCTACTCGAATTCACAAGTAACGAATCAAAGCTAGCAGTAACAAAACGCGGATGATTAGATTACCATCGCGTTCCGCCACTGCTACCTTTGCGCCTGCTGCTCAAGTGGTAACTTTGGTGCGCCCCCGAGTTGCCCACGAGCTTCAAGTTGTTCTAAAATTTATTGATATAGAGGTTTTCGATTATGCTCAACATGTTTATAATTGAAACCATATGATTAATTTTACTAATAAAAAGTTACGTAAGCAACTTTAGTTAATTATCCGACTTATCGCAAAGATGAGCCACCCACATAATCTCTCTCTGGCAGTATAACTCACATTCACAAACTGTATTAGTGCATCTTTTACGAATGTTTTGTAATAAATATGTTCGAATTAAAATGAAACACCCGGTGTATGCATATATATATACGCGTATATATTAGATGTCTGGCAGAACGAAACTTTACGTGAATATAGTTACTTTACGGAGGAGTTGAGCCTTTAGTCATTAGCACTATTTGCAACCTTATGTAGAAAAACGAAGTCAGGAGCCTTTCTTCTCTCGAACAAAAATGGAAGAGAATATGTTTCTAGCAGATATTTGTGGTAATAATAAATACGCCGTACTGAACTCCTGTCATAAACCATAGGGATTAATCATTTTCTAAAAGTGTTCAGTATTCATGGTCAGTGTTATTATTAATACCGAATTTCATATCACGGACGCAATTTGAATCCACCGAACCTACTAAAGAGTCGAAAAGATGGCTCAAGCTATAAGGGTTTTTAACAATTTATTCACAAGCCTGAAATAACTCCCAATGTTTTTATCGTGCTGCCCATAATAAAAGGTCTTTTTTATGTTAAGACACTATCCAACCGAACGCCAACATATCTCACAAGAGAGACACGTTGCACCGGCATTCCATTAAGATTATATGTGTATAGTCGACAGCATTATACTGTGACGTTGGCACAACGAAAACAGTTTGGTTTTTGAAGGGTTCAGTAGCAACTGGTTTTCTTTGCACCAGAGAAGCACGTCACACATTGCATTGTAGTATATTACAATGAATCAGTCTTACGCGTCCTTATTTTTTTTGTATTTTTTGCGTTTAGATAATTTATATTTGATATCTGTCAGTTGAAGTTCCACCGTTGACTATTATTCTAATGTGTGCCTTTTATTATCAACGAGAGAAGAATTGGTATTAAATAATCGCGTTAAATTAATTACCTTAAATTTAGACACAGATGTTACGGCGACCACATCCAAAAGTGCAGCTGAGCTTAAAGAAGCAAGGAATGTAGAGCGCATTCCAATGGTCAATATTGTGACATCTGATAGAGTCACCACAGATGATACGAATGTATTCTTAACTGGTAGCTGTTTGGATAGCATAGAAAGAGAAACAAATAATTGGCTGGAGCAATTTCCTTTATGGTTAGGCTCAAACCAGTTAGAGCTGAATACTGCAAAGACTAAGTACATTATTTTTAGAGCAAAAAATAAGCCCATAACTAGCGAAATTAGTACATCTTTTCAAAACTCGAATATTGAACAAAAGGTAAGGGCGCAAACGAGCTGGTGGTGGTTAAACATTTCGACAAAAGTCGAAATGTTTGTCCCAGTCTCGGGGTTTTTGTCGAAATGTCGAATATTGAACGCGTGGAATCCTTTAAATTTCTTGGTGTTCGTTTTCACGAAAACCTATACTGGACTTGTCAAGTGAACGAACTCCGAAGGGATATTTCTAGATCAATTGGTTTAATTTGTAAGCTTAAATACCTTCTTCCAGCCTGGTTAAAAAAACAGCTGTATATATCTCTGATTCACTCGAGGCTGCATTACTGTATATTGGCCTGGGGGACGACTACAGCAAGTAATATTAAGCAATTATTTACATTGCAAAAACGCGCAGTTAGGTCAATTGATAATTTACCTTGGAGTGAATCGACTGCCCCTAGCTTTATTAAACATGAAATATTAACGTTAGACAATCTTTTTTTGCCTAAAGGTCGCCAATTTCAGTTCATACTCAAATAAACACGAATCCCGCAATATTTTACGAAACATATTTATCCAAGCAAACAAATTACAACTTGAGACACCAGCAGTTTTCAAAACCTAAAATAATAACTAATTACGGTACACAAAAAAATATCCTACCAGATAGCCGATCTTCTTAACAGAAATTATTGTGTATTCGAATTAGCCCAGACAATAGCGTCCATGTTTCTTTTCAAAAAATACCTTACGGTATACTTCAATGTGCCTAGTGTGTATTCCTAGTAGAGTTCACATCAAAATAGATTGTACATTTTTTGTGTCTCATATTTTTATCTTCTCAGATATTTTTTAGTTCTTATTTATGCTGTTTTTGATTTATTTCCTGTGCCCTGCTGCTGAGTGCTGTAACCGGGGGTTGGGACCTAGTCAGGTGATTCGTTTTCGCCTTTTGTCCCAACCAGGGTGTAAGATAGACAGGTGGGGAAACGGCCCATAGAAACCTACCGCAGCGCCGTGACCGGATTGTGTACTCGTCTGCTTGCGGGTACCCCCGGTTTGCGACAGATGGCGCTGCGGCGAGAAGAAAAAAATTGGAATCGAATTTGCATGGAACTTTATTGGAGAGTATGCAAAATAAACAGAGAGCACGGCAGTCCTCCACTGAAAATCCACGAGAAATCTTCTCCGTCAGTTTAGCCGGTCGCCACCGTTCGCCCACCCGGAGTGAGAGTTCGCGGTGCTCCACATAGATGGCGCCACAGAAAAAGAGAACACCGAGGGGGACACAATGCGGTCGCTCATTTGGCTCTCGTTTCCCCACCTGTCTATCTTACACCCTGGTCCCAACCTCCCTGACAATTGTGTCAAAAAAATAAATAAACAAACAAACAAACAAACCTCCAAAAATTATTTCTTTTTTTTTTTTTTTTGTAATTTCATTTATTGATATTTCTTTACGGTTGTCTCTTTCGAGAATACATCGTAAGGATTAAAGCCGCCTGTTCGCGCGGTTACTTTTCCTTTTTTTTTTTTTGCGAGAAGCATATTTGAAGAAGGAAAAATGTGCAGGCGAGCTCGTTAGGAAGACATGATAAAAACAAAACAGCGCAAAAACAAGGACGAAGTGGAAGAAACCACAGGACACAGTGCTGACTTTCAACTGAAGATTTATACGTGTAGGCGTCTGTTATAAATGGCAAACATGCCACCCAAGAAAATCAAGGAAAAAACACAAAAGATGCATAACATGCCACGTTTTCAATACAACACTGTCTGCTGTTGCTGTGCGCTGTATTTTCTTCGTCCTTGTCTTCGCACTGTTTTGTTTTTATCATGTCCACTTACCAACTAGCCCAAACTTCTACGTTAATCAACTATATTTGCTTAGGAAGCACCATAATCTGAACCCTGAGACACGGAGGAAAAAAAATGACGTACAAAACGACGCGAAATTTAAAACGCAGCTGGGTTTATTCGCAACCACAAAAAAAAAAAAAGAGAAAACATTTACTCGGAGAGGAAAGAGAAAAGACTAAAAAACATGCCGCCGCAAAGATTTGACGAAACTCAGCCAGACGGTCTTACCTACGACCTAGACACGGCCCCAACAGCAGACACCCGCTGCCAAACGACCCGACACCAGTTAAAGAAATACAAACAAATAGAAAAAAGAAGGCAGGCTTACTCGCGAGCGATATGTCTGTACTTCCTCACGGGCTAAAGCTGTTGTGAGCGTCCCCTCCCATTTCATGTCGTGGGCTCGTCTTTCCAAAAATCTATGCTTATTTTTTTCTTTTTCCCTTTGTTGGTCAGGCCAAACAGTGGCGTTGTTTCGGAAAGGATGGCGGAAATCCAATAAACTTGGTTATGTCGTTCTTGGTTCGATTATAGAAAAACAGACACAAGAAAAACATAAAGGACTGTAAAATTTCTCTTTCTTCCTCGTTTTGTTTTTGTTTTTGGTTGTTTTGATTGACATCCGCATAGCCTAGGCTGCATAACTCTTCGAAATTGGGAAACTGACTTTTATGTTGTGTGTCTTTTGGACTGTTTGCTCGAGGCTGTTTTCGTATTTTTCCAGGCGTGTTGAATCTTTCCCGACCCCGTTGCCTTTTTTATGTTGTTTTGTAAGACGTGGCCCGAAATTCGAGACTTTGAAGATATTGAAAAGAGAATACTACTTTTTTGTTGTTTCTTTTCACGAGTGTGTGCATAAGCCGCTGACACGACATAATACTCGTCACACTGGCAAATCTAACAGGAACTGAACTATCTCGTGTTTGCGTGTTTTATTTTATCCAGAAATCACATTGGGTCATCATCATCCACTCTGTAAAGTTTCCAGTATTCATTTATGATAATAATCGGTGGATATGTTTGCGAGTCTATTTATTATTAAAATAATGGTATATTTGGACGATTTGTTTCGAACAGACGCGAATAACGGTGGTTATCGGGGGAAAATCTCGTAAAAAAGCTAAAATTTCATATCTAAGAGGGCAGGGTTTCGAGACAATAAAGTCCTAATTGAAGCAAATGTTTTCAAACCGTGACATTTCTCGGTCTTAATTGATTTTGTATTTGGACATAAACGAATGTTAATTGTAGTTTTTCGTTCTTAACAGATTTTCTATTTGTGACACCGACGAATGTTTATGGATGGTTTTCGGTGGAAACCGGAAAGTCTACGGTCTAGCTTTTCCGCATTAACTGTTCTCTTTATTGATATTTCTAGATCTGGTTGCCCTCAAATTCATCAAAACAAATGGAAATACAATTTTAAAAAGAAGTCTGCAAATTCTTAAGTGTATTTGTGGCAGACATCCCAAAAAATTCGGCTGAGTAAAGAATTTACCTGTGCGAACCCCATCAAACTCCTAGATACGACACCCTTCGTTTTCCCTCGACTGAGCGCTCCCAGTTCCATAAAATCCATTTCAACGTTCGCCGGCCGAATCGAACAAGAACAGTTTTTCGGTCCTGATATGTTCGCTCTGGAAAATCCCAACGAGCCTTTCGTTCTTCAGTTTGGAAACGCACG